TATTAAATGACTCGGATGATTAGTATACTATATTCCTTATTATTCTAGACAAAGTTACTAACAAGAAACAATACTTAGTTTGCTTGCCTTCCTTCTGATCAAAATCAGGATTTTATCTTACGGTAAAAATTCATTCTATTTAAAAATACATCTCCGTTTACACATCAAATAATTGATTATTTTCTCCTTCATTGTTCCATTTCTGTGCTCACTGTTGTTTCTTTCATTCTACCCTTAATCAGTTTCATTTTTTTTTTCCCCTCAATGGAATGTTCTGTATAAGTTCCTTTAGTGAGCTACCACTTTTACTGAGACATTGCTCAGTTTTGTGAATGATTGTTTATCTGGGCATGGGATTCCAAAAAATTGAGTTTTTCACCTTAACGCCAAGAAAATTCTGTTGTCTTCTTGAATTTATTGTGATCTCTCAAAGGGCATCTGACTTTTGTACCTACTACTTTTTAATTTTCTTCTTTATTCTTGTTACTCAATTTCACTTGGATGTGTCTAGGTATGGATTAATTTTTTCCCTTGGTGACACATAGGATTGATTTCATTCTTCACTTGGATGATGCACATAAAATGACACAGTTTTTCTCCTGGGGTGGGGGATAGTTTTTGAGAAAGGAAATTCCAGCACTGGCCCTTGAGGTCTTTATTTTCCAGAGTAAATCTTCCAACTGTCTGGCTCAATCACTAAGTAAGCACACGTGAGACAGACCACGCCCTCTACAGAGATTCAGGGCTAGGTTGAGCAAGGTATTTTGTTAATCCTTTTAGCTTGAGCAAGCAGTAGAAGGAAAACTCAGGAAATAAATCATATAAAAATATGAGAACAATAGGAAAGAATAGCTCGTCTTACAGGTTTGTTTCCTGTTCTCATACTTATGGAATGCGAGTTTTCTCTTCCACTGATGCTTAATATCACTAGAATGTCCCAAGTTGTAATTCTTTTCTTAACCAAAATTCTCCTTTGTCTATGTATATTATCATGTTAACACTAATACCTCAGAATTGTCAAAATAAAAAGCGTAGGAAGAGTTTAGTTGCGATTGCTGTAGAAGTTCCAGTTGTATGTACAGACTTTACATAGAAATTATAAAACACAGTAAGACTTCCATTTGCTTTTAAGTAGTTGTACTTTTCCAAGTTAAGCTGCCTCTCATGAGCTTTAGCCAAGCTTGGAAGTAATACTAAGTTATTTTTGTTTTGTTTTGTTTTTGTTTTTGTTTTTAACTAGCAAATATTCTAGTGATAAACTACTGTAATACTCTTAAAAATTTGCATCAGTTTTTAGCTTCTGGGTTTGATATTCTTTCAACTGATTATTAGAACTTCTTGTATGAAAAGTCTTCTAGCTTTAAAAACTGCCCTCTAGCCCATAGGAAAGAAGAAAAGACAATTTTCTGCTTTTTAACAAATTTAACAAATGATGGTAGGTAGAAATAATTGGCTGAAAGGGTGCTTTAACATTCTGTGAATTTCTGTTGTTTCTACTAATCACTGTGTCTAGAAAGCAAACTAATACACTGGAAAAATTCTATTTGAAAATCACTACATTTTGATTACTAAGCTTCATTTTCTTGCTGCTAGTGAAGAGTTCTCTAGGGGTACAATTTCCACTACTCAGGAGCACGCTAGTCATTAACTGGATCTTCATGGTCAAGTCCAGAAAAATAGCCCTGATGAAAAGTATCTTCTATCTACCTGTGCTCATTGGTGGTTTCTTCTCCTAGGCAGCGGCCTATCCCTTGTCTCTCCTCCATTGCCTGATCTCAAGTGGTAGCCTCTAGCCAAAGCAGATATCCAGGATGTGTATCCACGACATTAGTCCTATGTTTCAGGAAGAGTGAGATCTTCTTCCCACTCTAAGCTTAGTGTGGCCCCCTAGAAAATGCTGGTGGGCCCCAAGTTGAAGGATTTAGTAGTTAGAGGTGACTAAATGTAGTCATCATAAACCACTTGCCTAGCCACCAAATTTTACACCTCCAATTTGGACGACAACCTAGTAGGAAATAAATTTTTCACAAATAGATTGCTAAAGTTTAGGGGCATGTCTGATTCTCTTTTTATTTAATAGATCTAGTGATTTCTTTCCATTTGGAGTACAAGTGTTAACTTTGGGTGGTTCATAAGTAGGTTCAGTAATGCTTATAGCAGACAGTCCAGTGAAATCTGTGTAATAGGGGAAAATGCTTGAAAATTCTAATAAATACAACTACTCTGTTGAAAGGCAAATCAGTGTCAGGAAGGGGAATTTCTGTCTAACTAATCCTCTAAATTGAATTTCTTCATGGATGTAAATGAATAAATCACAGAAGCTTTTTCAAGGGTCGAAACTTATTTAGACTGTATGATGGAAAAATCAGTAGATGCCATTGTTCCTATAATTTTTAGGAAGATGAAGCATAGACTATTCCTTGAATTCAGTCATGGAATGATTTGATGAAAGTAGTGGTTTGCTGAAGGCAGCTCACACAGGCCAGTTGTTAAATTTCCAGGAACTTTGCAAACCAGTTGACATAAATTTTGCAAGCCAGTTGACTGCTTGTTGAATCGGCAAATTGTAGGAATATTTACATTATGGAAACCAGCAAACACTACAAATTACAAATCAGTCTTGTCCCACACCCCCAGCCAAAACCAGTTGTTAAGCATTTACCAGGATATTACTGGATAGGAGATTGGTTTAGAAATATAGAACAAAGAACAGGGCCAATAGGAAAGTGCTGAAGAATTTTAAATAAATGGCTTCCTTGGAGTTTGATGTTGGCACTAATCTTGTTTAGCATTTTTATAAATTTCCTGGAAAGAGGTATTATACAGAGAAATGTCCATATTTTTCAGATGACACTAAATGTTTCCACAGTTCAACTATAAACCCCAGGGATTAACACCCAGAACTCTTACTCACTGAGAATGGCTAAATAATAACAGATGGATTCTAATAAGGCAATTTGTCTCAATTTACCCTTATTAGATGATAAATTCTAACCTTTATGTTTTGACCTAGGAACACAATTTAGAAATTTCTGTAGACTTTTCTCTGTTTTTTATTATAATTTGCTAGCTTTGATAAAAGGGCCTCTTCAAGGCCAACCTTCATCAGAAGCACTGGAAACAAAATGTAGACTAACTGTCCTACCTTACAAAGAAATCTTAGTGTACTCTTCCTGCAGTTTTGGTTGACATGCTTCAAGGATAATGTAATGGAACTGGAAAAGTTTCAGAGAAAACTGTGTAACCTGATCAGGGATTGCAAGGATCCCAGATGAGGCTAAGATTATATTAACCAGCAAATCATGAAAGATTTTGAATAAGGTAAATATTGATGGATTAAGCAAATCCTGAAAGCCTAGAACTATAGCGTACCCCTTTGATGTTGGAAATAAGAATTTCTGGAAGAAATAAAAAGCAACATATTGTTTCTCAAGGGAAGCAAATGATAGCAAAAATAGCTGAAATTTTAACTTTGGTTAATTAAAAAAAATTGCATTCACATATTTTAATGTGCATATTTACTGTATATTCCCTCTAACCAGTGACCTTGCCTAACAATTAGGTTCTCTCAATGGACACAAGAGTGAGAAGTTCCCTCCTGTCCATTCAGGTTGATGTTTTTTCTTCTTATTTTTAGGGCAACTTAAAGCAAAGAAATGGAAGAGCTGTTATAATTGTTTACTACTAAGTGCCCCAGTTTGGATGTGTTCCCGAAAACTTTGCACCTCATAAGGAAATTTAGTTAGGGTTAATTTAATTGTGCTAATTAGAAGTCACATCTTGGTTAATTCTCTATTTTATGTTTAAAAAACAGGGTTTCTTAAGAGTGAATTAGGTAAATTCACTCTTCTAGGAAATTGATCATACTCCTCTAGGGAAAAAAACCTCCCTCACAATAGAAGATGGGCCATTTTGGGTGTGAAACAAATAGGGTGATTTAGTGAACTCAACCAGACAAGCAATATTGTTCCAAAGAATTGATCTTAGAAAAAAAGATTTTCATGTTTACAAATGAGCCAACTCAGATTATAATTTTGTGAATTATATTCTATAGTTTTTAATGGTTTAGAGTTGAATGGCAAGGATAACCTAAGTTATTCATCTTATTAGTCATTTGTAAATACCAAAAGTATTTATTTGTACAGTTGATCTCTGCACAGGAAAGGGATTCTAGCACTCCCCACCCCAAGTGGAAATCCAAGTATAATTTATAGCTTCACATCCACAGTTCAGTCAGGTGAGATTCCCAGTTGGATGAAGAAGTGAAAGGTAACCCAGGGCTAGAGATAAAGCCTTGGGAGTGGCCCCAGGCTGACCTGACCCTGTTGTCAAAGGTAGGTTGTATTCAAAGTTTTAGGAAGATGTAATGATAGGACCTTATAGCAGGATTTTATTAAACTTTTACGGAATGTTATTTTAAAATTAAATTACAGTTGTTTTTAGCTTTTGTGTGTTTTAGACACCTGACCTTGGGCCTGTGGTCTGTATTCATCCTGATGCTTCTGCCATGTGAGAGACTTGACTTAGGCCATGTGTCTGGCCTGAGGGCAGACATCCATGCTGTTTTTTAAAACTGTATTTGTTAAAAGAAAGTTATCTTAAGGGAAATACACACATGCAACACTCATCAAACAGTGCTGCAATACTGCAAACTGCGGTGTGAGGAAGGAACTAACTTGAAAGAAACACATTTTCATCAATTAAGTAGCATGACTAAGTACTTTAATTCCTTTTCTTCCAGCCCCTGAAAGGATCTTTTGACATTGAACCTTTCAAGTTACACAGGAGTCTCCTGAACTCTCTACTCCTCTGGGGGTGCGGGTAACACAGCCCCTCGCGGGGGGTTGGGGGGACCACTGGACCAGCCAGGCCCCTTCTCTCCCCACTTCTTCACACCTCCCCCCTATTTTTTCCCCTCCTCCCCTCCCTATCATCTTCCCCCCTCCCGCTTCCCCCGTGACCCCTGACCCCAGCTAATCTGCATAGAGGAATGACAGGCATCCGCCGGGCCAGATCCGCCTCGCCGGCTACGGCCGGCCGGGTTGGGAGACCCGCGCGGGGGAGAAGGTGAGGGGACCCGGCGGGCGCCTCCCGACAGACCGGGAAATGAACGCTTGGAAATCTGTCTGCGAGCGGACCCATGATCGAAGGACCAAAAGAGCCGCGTGATCGCCAGACCTGGCCCTGCGACCCTAGACATGGGCCAGACCTCGGTCTCCACGCTGTCCCCGCAGCCCAGCAGCGGTGAGTTCGGGGCGCAGGCGATGCGCTCCCGCTGCGAGGGCGCTGGGCGTGCTCGGTCGGGGCCGCTGGGACGGTCCAGGGCTCCCCGACGAGTCCGGCTCTGCCAGAGCCCGCCAAGTCCCTCCGAGAAATCCGAGAGGTAGCGCTCCCCCAAACTCTTTGTCGTGGAAAAGTGGAATGTCTTTTTGGGATCTTGCCGATTTTACCTTAAAGGCACAGGCTCCATTTTCTGTGCGAGATGCCTGGTGGGGTGTTTATCTGAATTACTTTTTGAAATTTACGAGAAACGCCATTTGCGTATTAGTGAGTGTGTTTTTAAAACGCGAAACTTAGCATGATAAACGTGCCAAAAGCTTTTCTGTATTTACCCTGGCTTTCGAACAGACTAGAATGGAATTCTTTCAAGCTTGTCAACTGATTTATGGTTTGTTTTTCGGGTAAAAGAAATGCCGAATGCCTTCTTTTACTCTGGCAGAAGAGTAAGAAGGCTTAATAACTAACTTTTGAAAACGCGTAATTGTTTCAAACGATCATTGTTTTGTTTATGTTAGACACATCAGCTATAAATTTAGGGGAAACATTTCATGAACTCAGTTATTGAGGGCAAAAGTTTGTTGTATGAAACATGTGTAACGTTTCTGAGTTTCAGTGCCCTCTTTTGAAAGTTTCTTAAACAAAAAAGAAGGGGGGGGTGGGGAGAAGGAAGGTAGGTTTGGCATTTCTCCATTAGGATAGGAATAAACAACTTTTTGATGGCGTTACTTGTGATTGGATAAAGAAAAAAAAATTAAAGGTACTAGTTTGATTTTTTTTCCATCAACAATTAACAAAAAAACCTCAAAGGGGCCATTTACGTTATTCCTTGAGATAGTTGATACAATTTAGAAATTGTATAAACATCAACAGGATCTTACTGAAAGGAAATGACAGGGCACAGATGAAGGTTTTTGAATCAGCTCCAGGATGTCTCTAACTAGATAGCTTCCTATCATTCCAGCGTCCCCCCATATGGGTTTGTTTATATTTCAGAATTTCACTCCCCGAAATATCAGAAGTTTTGTTGGGCTTATGTTAATGCCACAGGAGAACAAACTCAGCAAAAGTGAAAAATGAGAATCCCAAAACATCACACCTTCCCTTACTGTTACTGACATCAAAGCTTTATGTTGATAACTTGTGGAGGTTTCTGGAGGGGCTGATTCTGATCTTAAGTTTAGTAAACGAATTTGTCTGCAAATAAGATATAGTTTTCTTTGCCTTAATTTAAAGTTTTGTGACTTTTTTTGCTATCATGTCAAGGAAAAGTTAGATTTTTAAATTTTGCACTGGTGAAGTATAGAATTAAATCAGTTCGCTAATACAGATGTATAGCAAATACTGCCCTGAATTTAGTTCACCTGTCATAAAATATTGTGGCAAAATATTTTATACATTTGAGAATTGTTTCAGCTGTACAAAAATCAAGGAATATTATGTAAATAAAGACTAAAAACAGTAGAATCCTAAAACAAAACTGTCCTAGCTTTTACATGGTACAGTATAAAATACTCAGATTGCTCTAATTCCTTTTAAAAATGACTTATCATCTTGAGAGATTGTGCAGTTTATTAGTAAAAAATAATTCAAATAAAAAGATTTGCTTAGCCATAAAAGATATTTCAGAGAAAAAACTCATGGAAAGGTGGTAAGTTGCAGGTCCTCGCTAGTTGCTAGAAAGTTTGTATGTACCAATGCGACCAACACGGACATCTTGAATAGAGAATTTTGGGGTTTTGTTTTATTCCATAGGGGTTGACGGTGATTGTGAAGTCTTGTTATTTTATGAGGGAAGCAAGTTTCCATGATATCCAGTTAGGTTCTCTATATCTATTATGATTACTCAATTTCTCCGAAAATTTGCTGTCATATATTAAATAAAAAAAAACAACTTTTGGTTGTCATATCTAAGTTTTATATACATCGTGGTGTTCATCACTGAATTGGAGAATGTAAAACCCTCTATTCTTGCGAGTATCTTGTTCACACTCTGTTAGCTGTTAAATGCTGGCTTTGCAAATGGTGTGAAGACCCTTGTTCAGTTCAATCTTACGGATACTGTTCAGTTCAATCTTACCGATATTCTAATTGACTTAAGTCTAGAGTAACTGCTTTACATTATTATCTTAAATGCTTAATGGGGATAGTCTGCTTGAATAAAAGCCAGCGAGGCCCTAGAGTCCCAACATTTCACACATGTTACTTAATTTTGTCTTTTGTAGATGACTATAGTCCACGTTAGCTTGCTTCTCATTCATTGATTTAATATTCCTTTCAGTCTTTGCGTTTAGGACTAAATCTGTGCATTGGGTTGTGGGAAGACCATTAATATTTCTAGGGGGAAAAATGAACTTTGACCCATTATTTCTATTTTTAAAAACAGGTATATATATTATATATTATAAAATTCACTCATTGATAATGTGCACTTCATGGTCTTTTAGTATTTTCAGTGTTGTGCAACCATCTATCCCTCTTCTCAACTCCCACCCACAGTTCTAATTAACCACTAATCTTCTCTCGTCAGATTTGTTTATCCTGAACAATTCATATGAATAGAATCATAGGGCATGCATCCTTTTATGATTGACATCATTCACTTTGCATAATGTTTTCAAAGGTTGCCCATGTTGTGGCATGTAACAATACTTCAGTTGTTTCTATTGAAAACTAATTTTCTGTTGTATGAATCTATGATATTTCATTTATCAATTCATCAGTTGATAGACATGGATTATTTCTACTTTTTAATGCTGCTTTGAACTTCATGTACAAGTTTTAGGTGAATTCTTGGACATATAGTTAAGAGTGGAGTGACTGGGTTATATGGTAACACCATATTTACGTTATATTTTGTTTTTAAAAACTGCCAAATAGTACTCCAAAGCAGCAATGCCATTTTTAAAATTTTATTATAACAGTTTAATTTTACATCATGTTGTGCCTTTTTCCATCTCAGCTGCAACCCCTATGGACTTCCCATCACCAGTTCACCCGTGTGCTTTCACAATAGTCGGGTACACTACCCTCCCTTCCCCATTTTGGATCCCATTCCCCACTCCACCCTGGTAAAATGTCTCTGGTATGAGTTGTTTATTATTTCCCCCCACCCCCACCCATCCTTTATGCTCCTGCAGCAATGCTATTTTATGTTCACTCCAGCAGCCCATGAATGTTCCAGTTTCTCCATGACCCTGCAATACTTGGTGTTACCTTTTTGATTTAGCTTTCGTAGTGAATGTGAAGTTGTATCTCATTATGGATTTGATTTGCCTAATTTTTCATGACTCTGAGCATCTTTTCATGTACTTATTGGCCACTTGTGTAACTTCTTTGGTGAAATGTCTGTTCAGATCCTTTGCCAATTTTAATTGGGTAATTTGATTGCCTGCCATTAAATTATAAGAATTCTTTAGATAACATATATTAGGCCCTCTCTAGTATATGATTTGCAACTATTTACTCTCTCTTGTTTGCATCTTTGGTGTCATATCTAAGAAGCTATTGCATAATCAGTGTCAAGAAGATTTACACCTATGTTTTCTTCTAAGAATGTTGGCATTTTAGTTCCTATATAGTTAGGCCAAAGATACATTTTAAGTTAACTTTATGGGTACTATGATGTACAACTCCAATTTTATTCTTTTGCATCTATCCAATTGCTGTTTATCACTTGTTGAAAAGATGGTTCATTCCCTGTTGAATTGTTTTGGTACCCTTGTCAAAAAATAATTGACCATATGTGTAAGTATCTATTTCTAGACTTTCAGTTCTATTCCATTGATATGTATGTTTATATTGTCAGTATCACACTGTCTCCAATACGGTACTTTTGTTGTGAGCTTTGAAACAGCAAAGTGTGAGTCTTCCCACTTTGTTCTCCTTTCCCTAGGTTCTTTTGGCTATTTTGCATTTCCTTATGAAACCACTATATCAATTTCTGAAGAAAAAAATCCCATCTGGGGTTTAGATGGGGATTGTTTTGAATTTGTAGATCAATTCGTGTAGTATTCCCATTAGAACAAAATGAAATCTTTCAATCCATAAACATGGTTATCTTTCAGTTTTAGATATTTTGGTGTTTTCTAGTTTTCAGTGCGTATCTTATTCTCTCTTTGCTAAATTTATTTCTAAGGGATTTATTATTTTTTCAAAGATTTACTTATTTATGCTTACAGAACTGGGGTACACACCAGAGGTGTAGGGGCGGTGAGAGGATTCACCAGAGACTGAGCGGGGAGCAGCACAGGCAGATTGACGAAATACACTGCTGAGGGGAACAGTGGGCAGGTCAGGAGAGGTCTGCTGCGCCCTGTGGGTCAGCTCCCTGGCTGGGGATCGAACTCATGCCGAAGCAGCGTGACCAACTTCATAGTGCTGTGCTTTAATCTGTTTGACCACCAGGGGAGGGCCAGAATTTTATTATTTTTGATGCTATTATAGATTAAATTCTTATCTTACTCTAGTTTGTTTCCAGAGTGTCCTTTGTTAGTGTATGGACATACAAAAATTGATTTTTGTATATTGATATTGTGCCCTGCAACCTTGCTGCACTCATTTCTTAGTCCTAGTTGTTTTTTAAATGGACTCTTTAAGGTTTTTATTTGTAAGATCATACTGTACACAAGGATAGAGATAATTTTACTTTTCTTTTTCAATCTGAATGTCTTTTACTTATTTTTCTTGTCCAATTCCCTTACTTATATAGTACAAAGTTAAAAAGAAGTAGCAAGAGTAAACTTTATTATCTTAGTCCTGATCCAAGAGAAAAGAAAACAGTATTGTTTGTGAGTCTTTGTCATGAAAGGGTGTTGGGTTGTCTCTTTTTTTTTTTTTAAAGATTTTTATTCATTTATTTTTGCATGGAAGAACTGGGGTGCAGGCCAGAAGTGTTGAGGGGGGTGTGAGAGGATTCATCATAGAAAGAATGGGGAGCAGAAAGGCAGATCTACTGAAATACACTG